CCCTCCCTGCACCCTGCTGCCCACACAGGGGTCCCCACTGCCCACCTACTTCACCCCACTGCCCCTCTCCCTGCTCCCTGCCCACCCCTGGGACCACCACCCCAGGGGGGACACTCCACAGTAACAATCCCACAGTGCTGCCCCTGCCTGGGGGGCACCCTGCGGCCATATCCCTGGGGACATGGGATACCCCAGCTCAGCTGCTAGAGGGTGGCATAGGGGTCCTGCCTGCTCGAGGGGGGGGGTCTGAGGTCAGTGGGGCTGGAGTGGGAGCAGCCATGGAGGTGGGAAAGGGCTCGGGGTGGGGGTGGGGGTGCATGGGTGTGTGTGTACACACGTGTGTGTGTGTGTGCAGGGGCTCAGGGAGGTGTGGGTGTGTGGGTGTGTGTGTACACACGTGTGTATGCACATGCAGAGCTGTGGGCGTGCACAGGTGGGTGTGCACAGATGTGTGCACGCATGTGTTTGTACATGTGTGTGCACGTGAAGGGCTCTGTGGGTGTGCACAGAGGGGTGTGGGTGTGTATACACACGTGTGTGCAGGTCCTCATGTGTGCACAGGGCTCTATGTGTGTCCCCATGTGTGCACAGGGCTCTGTGTGTGTACACACACACGTGTGCGTGTGCAGGTCTCCACGTGTGTGTGCACACGCGTGTGCAGGGCTGTGGGCTCAGGTGTGCTCAGGTGTGTCTGTGTGCACACACACACAGGTGTGCAGGGCTCTGTGCAGCACCTCTGGGTCCACAATTTGTGTGTGCACCCCACACATGATGCCCTGTGTGCACACATACGTGTGTAGAGCCATTGGATGTGAGCCCTTCAAGGACCCCCCCTCGCCCCCAGGTGCCCCTTGGGGACGGTGCCACCCCCGTGCCAAGCAGCTTAGAGCCGGGTGACAGGGGGGACCAGCTATAAATAGGGGTTTGTGACCAGATGGACACGGTGGTGACAAGCTGATTAACCAGCCCAATTAGCACAATTGTTTGCAGGAGGATTTGGAAGGAGGTGGGGGAGGAAGAAGGTGGCTGTGGGGTTGTGGGGGTGATGGTCGGCATGGTCACAATGGCTGGAGTGGGATGGATGGCTGGAGCGGAATCAGTGACGTGGCTGGAGTGAGATTGGTGACAGTGACTGGACTGGGATTGGTCCTGGTGGCTGGAGAGGGACTGGTGACCACGGATGGAATGGGACTGTTGTTCATGGCTGGACTGGGACTGGTCCTGATGGCCAGAGTGGGACTGGTGCTGATGGCTGAAGTGGGATCAGTGCCAAGGGGCGGAGCAGGATCAGTGTCCATGGCTGGAGCAAGATCAGTACCTGGAGCAGGATTGGTGCCGATGGCCGGAGACTGACCAGTGTCCATGGCTGGAGTGGGACCAGCACCAACATCCCCCCCCCCCCCAGGTGTCAATGTCTCAGCAAACCAGGACG